AAAGAATATTGAAAAGAGAAATGTTAATTTTTTCTTTCATTTCTAGCATCACCTAACTTTCAGTTATATTCTATTTTACCTTAAAACAAATTTAAAGTCAATCCACAGTACTGGCTAGGGAACAGCTATCCCAGGCTGTTTACCAGATGCAGCTGTGCTTCTCTGATTTACTGCCAGGACACTGAAAGATTTTTTTCCTTCACTTTTCAGGTTGCCTAAGAACAAATGTTTTCTTCATTAACAGCAGCATTGTTGTCTAAACAGTATTCTGTCCAAATTTCGGCAATGACTGTGTCATTGTTTCTTCAGCTGACTTTTTCTCTGCACTAGTCATTTCCCAGCCCTCAATAACTCTAGACTAGGGAGCACATTTTGGTGGAATAAAAACAGATATAAAACCTAGACAAGGGTCTTGGATCAGTGGAAAGACGGTTCTGAACTCACAGATTGTTCTGAGCCAAAGCCAATGATACAGTTTTCCAGTGCGATGTGTTGACATGTTGACAATTTCATAAAGGTTGACAGCTACATGCCAAAAGTGTTGAAAGCATTACCTGTACAGCATAAAGAGGACAGATTTCAGCTTTTATGGTTACAAACAAGGGTGGTTGTAAGCATATGCACCTGCTGACTGAAAACGGCATGATAACAAGGATGTGGTCATGCAGTTAAATTTTCTGATTCTTTGTTTTGTTTATTTTTTTTTTGGTATAAAAGGAAAAATATCTAATAGTGATATGTTATAATAACAAAAGACAAAACCAGAGTAAACCCATTTGGGATAAGTAAGGATGGGCAAGGGTATAAGGAAGAAAATTTTTTTCTGATATATTATTTAATAAGTTAAAGATCCTCTAGAATCTTAAACTGTGTATCTTAAATGATAATTTCCAAAGTTAAGGAAAGCTATGCTATTATGAAATCACATTACTGACTTTGGCATAAAGAATGTTGTAAACATTTTTTCCAGTTCTCCTCTTCTCATAAACTAACCCCTTCATATATTAAGACCTGTTTACACCCTATCCCTCCTACCTCACCTTTATATTCTTCCAAAGAAAATTACTGTATCCATATAGCCAACCTTTGCCTCATTCCTGGGTGCTGTTACTTTTATACCAAACCATTGAGCTGTGTCCTGAGTCTTCTTCTAGGAGATTTGGTGGTCTCCAAACAACACTTTAATAAAACTCAAAGCTTCCAGTGCACGTTATTCAAAACAATTAGTCAGCCAGCTGTAACTGAACAACAGGCCTGACAGACTAAACTGAAATACAGACTACTCTCAGAGATAAGCTGCATCTGTTGCATGGTTATGGTAGAAATCACTGAAGTCAGGACAAAATTAAATTTTTCAGAATGCATACTTTCCCATTATTATAGAAGGAGGAATAAATGGATTGAGGGTCAGAGGACAATTTGCATTTCAGTTTGGCCACAAAGTCTGACTTACAAGGCAAAAACCAAAAACACCAAACTCACTGCCATTGAGTCGATTCCAATTCATAGTGAGCATTTATCTAAAGGCAAGCATTTATCTAATTTAGTAAGGTTTATTTTCTTCATCGATCAGTAAAATCTGGAAGGAGTTTTATTTGGTAACTGTAATGTTTTCTCAGTACTTAAAATTCTATAAACTTTGCAGTTTTCTTAGTTTCTATAGGAGCTCTGGTGGCGTAGTGCCTAAGGCACTTGACTGCTAACCAGAAGGCTGGCAGTTCAAACCCACCAGCCACTCCCCGGAAGGAAGGTTGGGCAATCTACTTCCGTGGTGATACTGCCTCAGAAACCCAAGGAGGGGTCACTATGAGTCGGATCTGACTCCACAGCAGTGAGTGAGATATGTAATTAGTTCAACGTATTTGCTTTTTCTGAAGAAAGAAGCTGAATGCTAACACATTTTAAGAAAGTCAACATTATGCCTACTGATCATTGTTCAATGTATATGGTTTAGCCCCACTTGTGGATGGATGAGTCTGAGGGAAGATTGCCAATGAGAATGTAGTGCTATGAACAAGGTTGTTTATTTGTGAAAAACACATAAAAACTGATGATCTAGAAAGTATAACTGAAGCTTATTGCCAGTGTGAAATTTAGATGTATTTGAAAAAGGCTTTCATCCCAAAAAGATATTGATGCTAGTGGGCTTATTGGGATGGAGAAACACACACACACACACACACACACATGTATATACATACACATGTGTGTATACGTGTGTATGTGTGTATTTTTCTCCTTTTCATGTATACAATTATACATATACACATGTATACACATGTGCGTATATATACATATGAGTATGGCTTGGTGAGATGAGAGGTACTTTAAACTGAGTTATTTCATTCTTAATAAACTTAAAGAAAGCAACCCATCTTTTGTTCACATCTTGGGGCATTTGCACAATCTCTCGTTTTGTGAGAAGGCACACCAAAAACACCCCCACTGCCATCAAGTAGTTCCAACTCATAGCAACCTCCATTGGGTTTCCAAGGCTGTACATCTTTACGAAAGCAGATTGCCTCATCTTTGTCCTGTGGAGCAGCTGTTGGGTTTGAACCACTGACCTTCTAGTTATCAACCAAATGCCTTACCCACTATGGTCCTACCTGGATCCCAGAAGCTGCCTACTCAAGAAGAATTTTTTTTTTCTCTTTGTAAATCTTGCATGACAACAGCCTGTAGGCTCCTCAATTGCCCTTCTTGGAAGTAGGAAAGAGCTGCTTCGGAGCCTTTCAAGTCCTTATGCAAATAGAGCATTCATAATCCTACTATCCAGAATTTTTATCTTATCACTCGAATGATTCTTTTTAGAAGAGTTTTGTTGTTAAAGAATTAGCCCCAATTGCTTCATGAGGAAATTAACAGACACTGCAGCCCAGCAGGTTTTAGTTGGCCCTCAGCTCACTTTTCTCTCCTGCTACAAACTGGCTTTAATCAAAGAAGTTAGGGAAAAATACCAACTTTTCAGCCCAAAGTAGAGCCAAGTACTTATCAGGAATCAGTTGGGCTCTCTCTACAATCATTTCTTTGTCATTGGGTGGATTGTCACCAAGTTTTATGATTCAGTTCCCTCAGGGACATTGCATAGATATTGGCTTGGATCTTCTATTAATGCTTGGATTGGCGAGCAGTGCTTGAATGACATAGGTGAGTTTAATAAGCCTCTGCCTGGTTTTCTTCCCAGACACTGAGACATGTGACTACGGCTGGCACAAGTTCCAAGGGCAGTGCTACAAATACTTCGCACATCGGCGCACTTGGGATGCCGCTGAAAGGGAATGCCGTCTTCAGGGCGCCCATCTTACAAGCATCCTATCTCTCGAGGAACAAATGTTTGTGAATCGTACGTACCAAAATAGACCTGTATTCCCTGAAGCGTCACTCATTCTCACCACCTTCTTAGGTTTTTCTATATCCAGCTGAAAGGAAGTAGCTTTTCTGGTTGTGATTCAACTTATGAAATCCCTCATCTGTGAACCATTTATAATCATCTCACTCTGTGAGTCCCACATTTTGGGAAGCATTCACCTGTAAGATTGGAAGGTATTGCTTGGTCTGCCAGCAATAGTATGTGGCATAGCATGTTATAGGTTGAAACATATGAAATTGCTGTTAGTTGATTATTTCTTGACTTACAAAAAGGATGATTTCATATTGTTCAAACTAAGTCTTTATCATCTCTATTATGAATGTGCTTGTATGTTGTCTAATGTTAAAAAGAAAAAGTACTTTCATTTGTTTGTATCCTACTAATTAAAAGTGAATTGTTAATGGCTCCCAAATCTTATATATCCTTTGCATATATTCTCATCCAATGTTCTAACGATTTTAAATCATCACTCACTCACTCACTTACTGCCATCCAGTCAGATCTGACTCATAGCTACCCGTCCTTGGGTTTCTGAGGCAGTATCACTACGAAAGTAGATTGTCCATTCTTCCTTCTAAGGAGGAGCTGGTGGGTTTGAACTACCAGTCTTCTGGTTAGCAGTCAAATGCCTTAGGCATTATGCCACCAGAGCTCCTAAACCATGAAAAGTGGGCTTCATATTAAGAATACAAATGAGTAGAGATTGGAAGCTGATAAAACTAAATACAAAGCTGTTTGGTAAATCCCAAGTTTAGATTCACCACCAACATAAGATAAAATTAGTAAGTTAAACTCTAGCAAAGAAGTAGGCAGCTAATTTTTATGTAGCAAATATATAATTTTTTTTGTACAGGAAATACTGTTTGATGCACTATTAAATATGTTCTCATAATGCTTGCCATTTTTTTGACATTTGATTGTTATTTTATAATCTGCATAGAGGTTCATTTAACATTATTGCATGATATACTTACCAGTGACTCATCTCATAGTAAAAGTAAATTGTTTTTCTTTTTTTTTTGGATAATTTTACAGAACTGTTTAATCTAGGTGTTCCCTGTTTAAAATGCTCTGAGAAGAAACATGTGGCTTCCAAAATTTAGGCTACCTTCGGTAGATCTGGCACATTTTATTGGGTCATTGAATTTCTGTTAATGACATAGCTTAACTAAAAAGAAAATGGAAAATTTCTGTCATGACTTAGGATGCAAAAAAAGTACTTAGCATAATAAACTGCAGGGAAATAGTTGTCTATGTCTGATGTATTAATGTTCTGTAATATGTTTGCAAATTGCCTTTGCATTTTAAAGCACATAGGGCAGAAGAGCAAAATATACTTACACTTGAGTTTTTTTTATAAGCAACTAATGAAAAATGAGCCAGAGAAGAGGAAGCATGATTCATTCTGAAAATAATTCTCTTTGATTTATTTTCATCCATGTATGGGCAAGGTAGTAAAAATATCTATTTTGCTTCTATCCCTCAGGTGTGGGCCATGATTATCAGTGGATAGGCCTCAATGACAAGATGTTTGAGCATGACTTCCGTTGGACTGATGGCAGCACACTAGTAAGATGCTGATGAAAATGATACTGATTTGGGGAACTTGGGGCCGTGTGATGATGGAGTGTTTCAGGAGGGGGCATTGAACAGGAGATGAGTTAAGTGACTTGCCCAGGGTCACTCAGTGAGACAAAAGGATTGGGAATGGAGTCTGGGGCTAACTGATCCAGCTTCTAGTGCTCCATTCACTAAGGCTAGCTTTAAAAGAGGTGTGTGTCAGGTTTCCATTGAACTGGAAAACCAGGTAATCAGCAGAATTGCCTCAGGGTGGCTTTCAGATGGTTATCTTTGCTTTTTATAGCTTCAAAGCAAAAAGACAAAGAATAAGTGTAAGAGAGAATACTTTTTCAATTAATTTTCTTTTTTAACCCTTTCTTTCTTCTTTAATAATTGTACCAGCATCTGCTATACGGAGGCATGGTTCATTTTGATCCAAGCAAAAACAAGCCATTTTTTTAATCTTTAAAAAATTGATTTATTATAATGTAAATATCCCTACATTCCAACTATGCTAAGCAGGAGGCTAGTGGTTCAAACCCACCAGCCACTCCATGTATTATAATATATATTTATATTTTTAAGAACAGAGTGACTTGGTAATGTTGGCCACAAAATGTAATTGAATCTAATTCTCTAGAAATAGTTTAAGTAGGACCGGCTGGCTGCATTAGTAGTACTCAGTGCTTCCTATTCATTAGGATTACCTGAGTAGCTTAATTTAAAAAAAAAAAAAAAATGAAAGAAAGAAAGAAATGGTGTTTGGGCCTTGGCCCAGATTCATTAAAACAAAATCTCTGGGAGGTGGAGCTTGGGCAGCTTTGTTTTTGAAGAGTTTCTGGAATAATCCTAAAATGCATACACATTTGGGATCCACAGGACTAGATAATTCTAGACTAGATATTGAGAGTGTTGTTGTTGTTATGTACTGTTGAGTCAGACCCGACTCATAGTGACCCCTCCTTGCGTTTCCGAGGTGGAATCACTATGGAAGTAGGTTGCCCAACCTTCCTTCTGAGGAGTGTCTAGTGGGTTTGAACCGCTAGCCTTCTGGTTAGTAGTCAAGTGCCTTAGGCACTACGCTACCAGAGTAAAAATCAAAAATCATTTTTAAACTCTTTTTAGGGTCAATTACTTAGCTCCTTACATTTCATTCATTACCTACCAGTCATCTGGATTTCATGGATTTAGCAAAATGTAAAGTTCATTGTAGACTAGATGCCAAAGCAATCTTGGCTTTTAGAAGTTCTCTCCCATCTGTTCAAGGAACTTGCATTGTACTCTTAGGGACACCTACTCAGGTTCATCTGGCCTCATGCTTATCTTCTCTGTAGAAGCTCCTATTTAGTAAAAACTATTTACCAGCCACTCCTCGGAAGGAAGATGGGGCAATCTACTTCTGTTGTGATACTGCCTCAGAAACCCAAGGAGGGGTCACTATGGAGTTGGGTCCAACTCAACGGCACATAACAACAACAACAACATTTACTGAGAGCCTACCCTGTGCTAGTCACTATCTTACGCACATTGCATATACGTATTCCTCACAACAAATTTAAAGAGGGGCATTAGGTGTTTTATAGGTAAAGAAGGAGAAGATTAGTTATTTGCCCAGAGTTAACAAAACTATTTAGTGGTAAAGCCAGTGTTTGAATTCAGACCTGCCTCTAAAGTGCAGTTAGTTTTTCTGGCTGATATTTCCTTCAATTTAAAAAGAATATCCCTTGTCACATTTTCTCTTCTTTCTTCTTTTTTTTTAAATTAAATTTGTGTGTGTGTGTGTGTGTGTGTGTGTGAGGAAATACACAGTAAAATATACTCCAATTCAACCATTTCTGCATGGTAGATTGATTACATTCTTCAAGTTGTGCAATGATTCTCTCTATTCTTTTCCAAATTATTCCCCCACTCTTAAGATACACTCACTGCATCCTAAGCTTCTCATCTTTCCAGTTGCTATTTTCAATCACATTTTTGTTTAAGCAAGCTGAAATAAATACCACCACCACCACCCCCGTCATTATTCTTTGCTTTCAATCAGCATTATTTGTCTTTTAAGTACATGAGTGGATTCTTTGTCAAGATGAAGGAAAAACAAGGAAAGTGGATTGTCCTTAAAATATATTTCTGGTATGGGACATACAGCAATAGTCCATTATCTGTCAGTTGTTCTAGCTGAACGATGTATCTGCAGTTGTTCCATCTGTATGTTTTCCTTTTGCTATATGGAAGGGGAATAATTTTAGTTGTTAAATTAATAGTTTCTTGGTATGATAAGGGTCCTTATATATTAATATCAATTTATAATAGACAAGTTTGTTTTCATTCACTTAATCTGCAAGTGAATATAGAAAATATTTTTTTTCCTTATATATTCTAAGTAGTTAAAACTGTTTTTATATTTTTGTTAATGTATTTTATACAAAGTACAAGCATTTAATGAGTTCTCCCTTGTTGAATTCATAATTCATTACTGTGGGATAAATTGGATTTCTAGGATACCTAACATTCTATTATTAAGCCTCCCTTCCACCATCTTTTCCTTATTAATAGTTCAGTGCAAAGCTCAGGTCCTTGTGATTCCCTGACAGCATCACAGAAATTATAGGATGCTTCAGGACTCAAGTGGCCAATTCTAGTTGGTGCTTACTTGTGCCTGGCAGACCTGGGCCATGTCTTCTCTCAAAATGTGTCTATTGGCTAAGTTCCTATATGTTCCAGCCCTGAGCCTACTATAGCTGCATTTGGCCTGATGGGTTGTATGAAAAGCTACACACTGATCTGACTGGGCCAAGTTCCAGTCTGCTTCCAATCTGTAGCTGGTTATATAGAATTGCTTTGTATGTTTTCATTCTTAGAGTTTATGTGCATTACTAGATGTTTATTCTGGTTTCTCCATTAGCAGTTAAGCTCTTCAAAGGGATGGTTCGTTTTTGCTGCTCTTTCTTTCTCACAGTATATAAGTAAAGGTCCTGTACTCCCTGTGAGCTTAGTTAATGAGTCTAAATATTAGCTTCTATCTGATATCCACACCAAGTGTGTCAAACCTCTTTGGGAATTTATCTTTCTTGCCAGGTGCCATACAATTGAACTTGACTCATCAGATATCATTCTTCCTCTATGTGAAAACAAGTATTACTTCCGTTAGTGCATTAATTTTTAATGGAGGTCCAGAGATGCTATAGAGAAAAATAATTTAATTACCTTTTCCGTACTCTAGACTAACCTTAAACTTTGTAAATAACTGAGCATTGCACTTTGTCAAAAGAGAAATTCCAGAGTCTTCTTCTGAAATATTAGTTTACTAGGCAACAGAAAGAAGAATACTAGTTTGAATGAATTGATACTTTTAGTTGAAAACTAAGGATTATGGAGCAAGAAGTAAGTGAGGGCTTGAGTTTGAAGAAGGGCAACAAATGAAATAAACAAGCAGATTTTTTCAAAAGAAATGACACAAGTAAATCCAGAAAAAACCCAGTCGGGCCCTTGATTTCTTCTTAATTCACTCTTTGTGTAAAACAAAAGTGTGCTAAGGAGTGTCCCTTAACTTTGAACATTTGGAACAGAAAAGACCATCTGCCAAGCAGCCTGTCTCCCTCCCATCTGACTGATCTCTGTCCCACTTCCCTGCTTTTGTAACCACCCTTTCCTCTAGCCCCTTCCTTTCTGCAAAGGCCTAGGTGTCTCTTAAACTCGTTTGTAGTTCTTTCTACAGCCACCATCCCCTTAACAGGTTCCATATGTGTGCTGGCTTGTGAATAAAATAGTTCCCTTTTGTTTTTGCTGTTTACTCCAAATTTCTTGCTTTTGAAACCATCCCTATTAGTTAGTAAACTCTTCATGTGGAGAGCAGTATCTGATTACCCTTGGAAATGGTGTTAACTTGACTGTATGCAATTTGAAGGACTTTGTTTATATTTTAGAGTGATTTTGCCCATCTCTCTCTCCTTTCCCTTCCATGTTTTGTTTGAAAGATTTATTAGAGTTTATCCTTCTTGGGAGGTAGAATAGCACTAAAACAAAAGGAGCCTTTGATACTTACCTTGTACTATCCTTTGCTACACTGTCTTACAACTCAATAAAAAACAAAGTTCATATTAAGTCTCAATTTCAATGATTTATTTTATTGAAATAATTAAACTTTACTCTCAGTAAATTTGCAGTATCATATTTATCATATTCAATATGGTTATGCTCTATATATGAGTCGGGTCCGACTCGACGGCACATAACAACAACAACAACAACTATAGTTAGCCTCGTTCAATCATGCATACCTACATTAAATCACTGATGTTATTTGACCAAATCATCTAAATTGCCCTTAGACTTTGGACTCTGAATCATTGCACTTTATTGGCTTTTATTGTAGGATGTTGATATTATTAATAAAATGCCAAATTCTTGTCTTTGTTATATTTTAAACTTCTTTTCTTCATTACTTATTTTGGGGTATATTTTCTCAATAAATTTCACAAAAGAGCACTCATGTATAAAATTGGTTCTACCCCGACACTTGCAATTTATATTAAGATTATTTTCTGTTAACACATTTTAGTTTTTACTTTGTCACTTATCTTTCTAGTAACTGTTATTCTTTAACTTGGCTATTAATCTCCAATAGTGAAATGTGTCTAGTGCTTTATTAGAAACTCTGACAACTAACTTCAGAAACTCTAACAAATAAATGACTTCAACAATGAATTGCTTTACTCGTCACCCAAGTAATGTCTTCAAAGACACCAAGTTAAACTATCCAAGTTAAATACACATTAAGCCTGGACCACTTAAACAGACTTTTCTTATCTGGCTTCTATACTATTAGCTGACTTTTAACTTTTCTTTAACCTATTGTTAAATGGATGACTTATCTGAAGCGTCTTCCCCCAGATGTTTTCCAGTCCCAATGACCTTTCATTCCCCTTACTACTCCCTTGATACTTCTTAAAATTCTTTAGTGTCTCCTCATTGCCTTCGGTATAAATTCTACTTGTTAGCATGGTACACAA